TCCCAAGCCTCTTGGATAAGGGATACTCTACTTACAAAAAGCTGCCATGAAAAGGGAAAGGGAAAGAATTAAATGAGAATACACAGAATGCAGAGGAAGTCTAACACTGAGGAACAAGAACACCATTACTGTCTAGGCTGAAAAGAGTTAAAACCTGTGACCACTCCCAACTGCTGACACATGCAAACCCAGATTCCTTTTCTTTCCAAAACCTACACCCATACAGGTGGGGCCCCAGCTGCAACACCGCAACGCACCTGAGACTCAGCACACATGCACCTTGTCTCTGTGCCTTTGCTCTCCAGTCCCCTCGTCTAAAAGGTCCCCTGAATTCCCTCCTACCCCAATACTTGCAGACATAATGGCTGAGGTGGTGAACCCCTGAGATCTCTCCTATGGGAATGTAAAATGGTTAAAAACATCTGGTAGTTTCTCAAAAGTTAAATATAGAGCAAGCTACCTAGTAATTCCACCACTAGGTATCTACTCCCTCTTCCCAAATGAAATTATAGGTCCAAAGATTTGTACACAGACTTCCTAGCAGCATCATTAATAATAGACAAAGTAGAAACAATCTGCATGCCTATTATCTAGACAAAATATGGCAAATATCCATACACTATTATGTAATAAAAAGGAGCTAACTACTGACTCATGGTATCTCAAAAGCCTTTTTTAGAAGTGAAAGAAGGCAGATGCAAAATGCCATACATTGAATAATTCCATTACCTGAAATGTTCAGAAAAGGCAAATCTGGACAAGTAGATTAATGCTTCCCTGGGCCTGGGGTGAAAATCAGGAGCTGACTACAAAAGGGCACAGAGGATCTTTCTCGAGTGACAGAAATATTCTAAAAGTGGATTACAGTGTGGATTATCTGCGACTCTGCAAACCATTTTGTTTTTAAAAAAATCATTAAATTGTACACAGCACAAATGAATTTTTTTGGTATGTAAATCATACCACAATGAGGCTTTAAAAAAAAAAAGATCTCACCAGATTCACAGACATTAAAAGGGTTACTGGGTGTCTACACCATTAAGTCCTGAGAGACTGCGAGGTGGCATGGCATAGGCAGGTGGCATCCCTGGTTGTAACACTCATCTGTTACTAGGATCTGCATCATGGGGTCAGCTGGAATCTTCTACTTGGAACACTGATTGGCTTCTACTTGGCTCCCTGCATCCCTCTTACATCTAAGTATCAAATGGTCAAGAGCCGAGGTGCCCACACCTTGGGCTTAAGTGTGGGTCCCTCATGGAGCATCAGAATTTTCTTCCATAGCAAACCCCTCTCCTGGTCTAGCCCAAATGAGCCCAGGTTGGAGGTGGCAGATGCTCTGAGAACAGAGTTTCAGAAATGATCAAATGAACAAATTATGAGTCTACTTCTTAATTTTCACAACCTAGAGACTCCAGGCATTTTGAGAAAGAAGGAAAGGAAGGAGAATGGTCTTAGTATTTGTAATTTATGGAATTTAAAAAAAAAAAAAGAAAAACAGGAAAATCTGCTAAGCAAGTTGCTAATATGCATAAAGGAAGCATTAGACTTACTTAAGAAGTACCCATGGGAACCTACAGATGTTCAAGGACGGATGTTCTAAATGTCATTCATTCTCACTGAGCCATTAGAAGAAACCAGTGAGATGTCAAGTTGCAAACCTAATTTAAATTGCCTTTGCTCCTTTATTTTAACATAGGTAACAACTGAATTTCCTGATAAAGGTTAAGTACTCCCAACAATCATATCAAAGGAGTAGTTTTTTCGTATAATATTCATAGAAGTGTTCAGTTTTAATCCTGTAAGTCTTAATTTAATAAGTGCATTTCTGATCTCAGAGTAACTACCTCTGTATTTGCACAACTCACACTGGACGCCTCACACTAAACATCTGCCATGAAGACTGCGTTACTTGGGAATTCCTAATTAAATGCATTATTAAAATCATTATTATTAAAATCACCCACTGAGTAAAAAATTTTGAAAGCAAAAACTTAAAAACTTTGTAAGCATATTCTCTATACTATACCAATTTATATTAAAATAAAATGCTAATTATAAGTAATCTTATAATCAGTAAAAACTATTATTGTTTGAAAGTACTGAACGTGGTTTTTCATTATCTTATGATGATTTTTAGTAAGTTTTTAATTAACTTGAATAAACAACCTCCTTTTATATCTTTTAAAGTTGTGCCTCTCAAATTTTTTGCTCTAAGGACCCCTCCAGTAGGATGACCAGATAGACCTTGAAAAGTATTTGTTTACTGAGGATTATAAGTGCCTATATTTTCAGCATTGGACATTAAAACTGAGAAAATTTCAAAATATTTATTATGTTGCTTAAAAAGAATACGCTCAAAAAATAATAAGTTCATTACTTGCTAACATACATTATTTTAAGAATTTAAGCATGCCTATATTTTTCAAAAGTGGAAGGGCAGGGGCTGGGGATAGAGCTCGTTGGTAGAGTGCTTGCCTCACATTCACAAGGTCCTGGATTCATTCTATCTCCAGCACCACACACACACACACACACACACAAACAAAAAACAAAACCTGGAAAGGCAGCACTATTTTACAATTTGCATTAGGCTCTTCAAGGACTGCAGTCATTTTTCTTTAATACTATATCAAAATTCTTGAAGGTTAGATGCAGTGTGGAACGTGAAACCATTTTCTCAATCTCTGCTACACTAAAATCCACTGACCTATCCCGCACCATATCAAACCATGTTTCTCATCAGAGAGTCTTTTAAAGTATTGGGAAGCTGTCAAGTTCTCTGAAGTGAATACGAATTTCCCAAAATTCTAATTTTCCTTTGTGAGCTTGAATTTGATCTTCAGCAACAAATAATGTCGGTTGTTTTCTGTGATGTGACAAGCTCGTCACAATCACTTTTAATGTGTTAAAATGATGTAATAAAATTCATAAAGGACACTCTTGACTGGACTTGCTCTTGCTTTGAATGGTGCCCACATTTTAGTTGTAGAGTTGATGCCTCCGTTTCTACTAAACTGCCAGCACTTTTATCCCATTGCTTTTTTGGGGGGGCGGGATGGGAGGGTACTGGAGATTAAACCCAGGGGCAATTTACCACTGGAAACATCCACAGCCCTTTTTCATTTTGAGGCAGGGTCTCACTAGGGCCTTCCTGAGTTGCTGAGGCTGGGCTCCAACTTGCAATTCTCCCTGCCTCACCCTCCCGAGTTGCTGAGATTACAGGGGTCCGCCACTGTAATTGCTTTTGTACCTTTGTATCATTGCTTTTGTATCATCAGGGTGAATGTCAGCAGAGAAGAAAAGGCAAATCATGGCTTAGTATTCTAATAAAAACAATTTTGACCTTGTAGATCCATTAAAAGGATACTGAGGAACAGTGAACCTGTGAAAACTGCTATATTATCATATTACTCATTTCTAACCACCACTGCAATCACTAGAAGGCAGTCACTGATTTAGAAAAGGAAAGTAACTGCTCCTCCTTTTTCAGGTTGTCCACATGAATTACCAATTCCATAAACATTAATTATAAGGAAAAGGCCACCTCTATCCAAGTTTCAATATGGACATACAAAAACTGAAATCCAGTTGCCATGGAAGGATAGACTAAACAAACTAAATTTAATATGCAAACTTCCCCCAAAGGCTTTAAAATGTGAATTCTTCTTTAAGTCACCCATTTGTTCCACATTTTCTGGGCATTTGCTTGGTGTTAGAAATAGTGAATAAAGTCGACAATCTCTGTGGCCAGGGTCCACAAAGGCCTACGAAGCCAGGAACCAGAGCAGGGGCATGAAAGTTGGACAGATCTGATTTCAAGTGCCAGAGTCCCCACCTACAGGAAGCCTTTCCCCTGTCATCTCTGAGCCGCCTTTCTTAATTGGACACAAGGCAAATTCCACTTAAACTGTGAGGACTAGATGAAATGCATGTAAAGCATTTAATGCAACTCCTAGCACACAGCAGGCATTCAATAAATGGAGGCTACGCTATGAATAAGGTCCCTGGGGGCAGTCGGAGTCCAGATGGGAGAGGGATGCACATCCAAATAATTATGACCCAGCATGGGAACTGATTAACTACAAAATGCAATGGGACTAAAAGAAAAATCAATGTTCTGCTTAAATAAGGACAGTGCTCTAACAAGGGAGGAGCTGGCTTGTTCACAGAGGAAGGAATAGGAAAAAGCAAAGTGCACCCAGACATGCACAAGGTGGGGTGCAGGACAGATAGGCAAAGGGAGTCAGGCAGAACCCAAAGACCACTCCCTGGAACCCAGTCATTTAGGGCCTTTAGTGACATATAAAGGGGCACAGATATTTAAAAGGACTTCCTTTTTATTTTTGTGAAGAATGAAGAATTATAAACTGCTATAATCAGTGCTAGCAGGTTTTTGGTCTCCTATATCTCTACCTATTCTGGTCCAAGCTTGACTAGTGCAAAAGGGACAGTAAAATCGCTCTCAGAGCCTGTGGAACACCAGCAAAGCTCCTGCAGTAAAGGGAATTCACCCAGGTCCTTTTGAAAGCATGAATAAAGTATTTACTGTGCAAAGCCAGTGTGTACCTTCTCTGATACAAGTTCTTGATACACATAACTTTATTTTCATCCCAGCTCCAGGTCATGGGCTCCAGTGAAATTTACAGGTCACTTAGCTTAATGGGGTGAGAAGAAACAGAAAGGCAACAGTGCTCCATGTTTTCCATTGTGACTCCAGCCATCTGTGAGTCACTGAGTGAGTAAGCTCAGAAGGCCAAAGAGGCCGCCTGGCTCTCACCCCTCAAAAGAGACTGCAAATGCCTCCAGGCGAACCCAAGTAGATGCCCGCAGGAGGACAGCCCTACAGAGGCGAGTCTGTGCTCCCCTGGCAATTCTGCAGAAGCAGACAGAGGCGCAGTCAGTGCGAGCCGATGGCCAACGGTGCCCTGCTGCACGCACACCCAAGATGCGACCATTTAGACACAAACCACAGAAATCACAGCAATGTCTTTACTCACCCAGAATTTTACGAGGAAGAAGGCATTTTGAGGGCCCTTTCCAAATAGTTCCTTTAAGCCACCTTTCTTTTCTGGAAATTTGTCATAAATCTGACGAATGTCCACGGATTCAAGCAATGGGTCACTGTAAGAATGGTTGGCATGCCCAATGTGCACGAAGAGGTGTTTGTTGTACTGTAAGAAACCAACAGAGACATTCCCATTACAAACCCTTGGATTAAGCAGGGGCTCACACGTCTTGAATTGGACAGTGAGGCAATCTTGAAATTCGGGCATGAGGCCTTGAAATGGCCTAGGTTCTCTGTGCTTTTGAAAAGATGAATATGTTAAGAAAAGTCACCAGAGCTTAGGGTGAACACAGCCATTGGCTTTTATTGACAAGGTCATATTTCCTGAAGTGCCTAAAAAAGACTTTTTTGCAGACATAGTAATGAACAACACCATAACTGCCAAACTACCAAAGCAAGGAATACTTCTAACAACCAGTTTCACTTGACTCAGCTGAAGATGACAGGGACACTTTTTGGAGCCATTTATTTACAATGTAAGCCCAACAAAAACATGTGTGTATAGTTAGATGATGTCATCACCCAGAATGCACTTCTGGCCTCCGGTCTCCAAGCAGTAGCGTGTAGGATGTGATCTAAGCCATGGTGCCTGGAGACTTCCTCCCTCTAGCAGGAGTAAGAGCACTGAGCCTCTTTGTCATCAGTCGCCTTAGTAACCCACCTGAAACTTTTGCATAAGGGTTGGTCAATACATGGTCATCAGTGTAAAGTCAGGGTCCCAAGAAGGCAGGATCTATGTCACTTGTGCATAAACAAACAAAAAACTCAGACTCTGTTGTATCATTTAACACACAAAGGTCACCCTTTCTTCCCTTACTTTAGTTTAAGACATGATGGTTTACATATATTTCTTTGTGGTCAAGGTAACTGTTTTCAACCCAGGCCACATCCCAGTCCCCAAGGAGCACTTAAAAATCACCAATGCTGGCTGGGTGTGGTGGTATGCACCTGTGATCTCAGTGACTGCAGAGGCTGAGGCAGGAGGAATTATAAGTTCAAGGTCAGCCTTAGCAACTTAGAAGACCCTGTCTCAAAATAAAAAAATAAATAAATAAAAAGGACTAGGATAAAGCTCAGTGGTAGAAGAACCCTGGATTCAATCCCTGGTACAAAAAATAAAAAAGAACATAGGGTCCAGACTTAGTCTACACAAGCACAAAACTTTGTTTTCATTGCCAATTAGCTGTGATAGCAGAAAGTTCCTCCCTAGTCTCTAAAACAGGGGCAGTGACGACCTCTCTCTCATTGGGTTGTTAGAGAGTTGAAATATATATATATTAAAGTACTAATGTATTAAAAGTACCACCATAAAGAAACATTTTAAAACTGTGTATAACCTAAAGTTTCCCAAACTCAATTGGCCACAAAATCCTACAAGCACAGCCCAAGGAAGAGCTAACCTGCTACCATGCCATGGATCTCTGGCCATGATGCTAAAAGGCAGGAAGCCAGACATCTCATCTCAAGTCACTGCCCCACATATGGACAGTTTGATTGAGCTGGTATTTTCTAGGGGAGGGTCAAGCCCTCTCCTATCAACTCTAGAGTGTTCTATCAAAGCTTCCAAGACCCTAAAAGATTCCAGGTAAATAAAAAAGAGAAAGCCTACCCAACTCTTACACAGACCCTCTACAGGGACTGGTTGCCTGGTGGCCTATGGGTAGATGAGAAGCTACAGACCACTCCGGAAGAACAAAGTGAGCCTGCAGTGGAAGAAATTTAAAAAGTAGAAAGCCAAGGCTGTTACATTAGGAGTGTGAGATCATGGGGATGCAGGTCTTTGTTGTACAGAATTTCTCAAATGTTGCCTCATCTTTTTAACCATAAGCAAACAAAACCCTACAGAGGGGCTGGGGATATAGTTCAGTTGGTACAGAGCTTGCCGGGCATGCACAAGGCCCTGGGTTCAATCCCCAGCATGCATGCATACACACACACACACACACACACACACACACACACACACACACACCCTGCAGAAAGAATGAGGCACAATTACAGCTACTAAGGAGCTGTATGTAGTCTCATTAGCGAGCAAAAGGATTTAAAAACAGAAAACAGTCATTTCAGTGGTGCAAAGGCAATCAGAGGTGAAATGATGAATGTGGAGTGTGTGCCCCAGGTGCTGATGGCAAAGGCGTTTTGTTTCTTCCTTATCCAGACACCCGGCTACCTGTGTATGCATCCAACTCTGGTTGATAACCTCTGCTTACACTAGCTCCCAACCCTACCTCCTGGTTCTGGGAGACACCACTTCCACCAGTTCTGCTGCCTCCTGTAGGGACAGTTCATGGGACAGAATGGAGCACAGCAGAGCTTGGGGACAGTGACTTGAATCTGATTCTCCACTTGAGCTCCACACTCCCAGCTCTCCTGCCCTGCCAGTCACCGTAGGCTGAGTCAGGGATGGGGGCTGACATTAAACAGCTTTAAAACTTGAAGTCTTCTTGCTCTGGACATTGAGATGTCTCTGTTTGGACTCAAAGACAACGGCGCAGGAGGTCAATTATACCACACTTCAACGGGGGTCATGAAGGTGTGGCTGAAAACCAGGTGCTGAGAACAAAATAGAAAGGCCTGGAGCCAGCCTGATCCTGAAATCTCAGTTCTCTCCCGTGTACAATGGGGATAAGATGCCTGTAAAACTCAAATAACACACAGAAGGGGCCTGGCGGAGGGCCTGGCAGACACGAAGTGTTCAATAAATAGGAGCTGCTAAGATTACTATCCTTATGGTTATTATCATGTGAGATTAACTAGATCCTGGGGTAGAAGCAAAAGAACTTTCCTGCCATTAGCTATCCCTCCTGCCTAGTGAAGAAAAATAAACACAAATAAGCCAAGAGTTAGAAGTAAGTAGCGAAGCCCCGTTGACAGTTCAAGTCCTTGATTATGGCCTCCCGTGACCTGGCTGGGGTGGGGCCCTCTCACCTGTGCTACAGGATGGGGAGGCACCTGTGCCCCCTGGCTGGCCAGAGCAGTGTGCTCTTCGTGTGGGTGATCTCAGGTTATCCTCGCCTCACATCAATGCTGTAGGTGGATTTTATTAAAATCATTTTACAGATGAGGAAATATAAGCTTAGAGATTAACTGAGCTGCCTGAGGTCACACAGCCGGAAATAGTCCCGAAGTCAAGAATAAAACTTGGATCTGTAAACGCCCCAGCCCTTGCATTTGCTGCAAATATCAACCACACTGTCTGTCAGAAGAAAATGCCCGAGCCCTGCTAATTCTGCTCAATCAACATTTCCTGAAAGTTCATTTGAGAAGCAAGTGTCAGGGGAGCGGGGGACTAAACAGTGTTCCCAAAATTCTCTGAAATTAAATTAGAACTCAGGATAAACATAATGATTCACAGATGCATCAGACAAGAGTCCTCAAAGCTCTCTATTTTGAGAACATTACCTCTGTGCCCAAGTGGCTGAAAGGAACTGAGAAAGGGCAGGATGTCTTTGCCAAAGGAAATCAGGCACTGCCTCTCCAAGGCCGGTGACTCGAAACCAAACCCGGACCACTGGCATCTGAACGGCTTTACTCCTGCCAAGAGGTGACTTTGTTTCTAAGAATACGAAGGACTAAAGGTGTCCTGGAGACCACAACACTGAAACAAACAGAACTCATTCTCCCCTTAACTCAACCTGAGTAGGGCAAGGATACTTTTGTCCCCAAATCCAGAGGCCTCAAAAGAAGCATCTACCTGATACACTGAGGTTTAAGTTTTCATGAAATTAAAATTCTAAAAATGATTTGGTGAGGATGTCACTACTCCCTATTCTGCCAGTTCGCCTTATGAGGGAAAAAGGCTAGATTTAGATTTTTCTTTTCTTTTTTTTGGGGGGTGGGTGGGGGTATGAAGGGTACTGGGGATTGAAACCAGGGATACGCTACAGCCCTTTTTATTTTGAGACAGGGTTTAAGTTGTGAAGGGCCTTACTAAATTGCCGAGGCTGGCCTCCAACTTTGATTCTCCTTCTTTAGCCTCCTAAGTCAAACAGGTGTGCACCACCGCATCAAGTTAGGCTAGATCCTTCACTTGCTTCCTTCCATTCCTCCCAAATAAATCTCATTTTTTTCCTCCATCTATCATACTTTTACCCAAAACTATAGGTGGCACACAAAAGAGGGTTGGGCAATTACATAGGGCAGAAAACAAACACTCTCCTAAGAAAATTATCTGGGGCAATATGTGAGCAGAAATACATGTGGCGAAGCCCAAAATTAGATTTTCTTAATATCTCAAACAGGTTACTTTGACTCATTTAATGTTAAAAAGTCTCAAAGGCACTCAATAGAGGCACAATTAGTCATCAATGTATCAAGAACAGCAACAGAAATGATACTCTCTCTGCACATTTTTCTTTTTCTTTTCTTTCTTTCTTTCTTTCTTTCTTTTTTTGGTACCAGGGATTGAACTCAGGGGCACCCGGCTGCTGAGCAACATCCCCAGCCTTATTTTATCTGAGTTACTTAGTGCCTTGTCATTGCTGAGGCTGGCACTGAACTCATGATTCTCCTTCCTCAGCCTCCCCAGCAGCTGGGATTACAGGTATGCACTATTGCACCTGGCCTCTCTGCATATTTCTTTGATGGAGTTTAGTAAAGCCACCAGCACACCTATATCTATTGTATGCCAGGCACTGTGTTGGCATATAATAGGAAATCCATGTCCTAATACCACAAGGTTCATCTTCAGACTCAACAAAGTGATCATATGGAACTAGCTCATTGCTTCCATAGTCAGAATGATATGGTGCCTATGTAAACCTGTGTTCTCACAGATTCCTACAAAGATGCAGCAGACATTAAAGAAAGTCATCTCCACCTCTCCTGCAAATCACATAACTTAAGTAAAATTTACTTGCTCTTTTTTATAAAAGTGACTTTATTCTCCAGTACAGTGTTATTCATTAAAAAGAACATATGCAGAATCCATCTAGAAAATGTGAATAAAGTTTCACAAGTCGAAGGTAAAAATCAAATTACCCATGACATGAGAGCAGAATCCACTGTTGGACGTATCAGGTTTCAGAAAAACTGACCTTCCTAGCATCTTTTCTCAGCAGCTAAAGAAAAACATGCAGCCAAAAGATGTGAAAGTAAATAAAA